ACTGTGTAGATTCTCTTTTTTCCCGTTGTGTCGTCGTGACTACTCATATAACGCAATAGAGGGGAGTATTACATCGGCAACCGGTAACATAGTATAATATTGTACTTGACAAAAACTTACTTCGTCACAAGATAGATGATAGAAGGGCCAGTAAGTACTCCTACTAACACTCCTAGAAGACCCAGAATTATCGCCACTATGCGTCGGGTCTTTATCGACCATATACACGTATGGTAGTCCGATCTCCGTGGGAGCAGTGGTTCTCTCTTGCGCGTGGCATCCAACTTAGCTGATGCCCACATGCAGATAGCTGGAAACCACTGGACCGTGAGAATGGAACATATAGCAGAAATGATGGATACAGCTTCAACCAGGGAATTGAACCAGAGGAAAAGACAATAAGAAATGATAATAATAGCAGATGTGGCCAGCCAGTTGAGTTGCTCCGGAACGTTCAACCTCGTATCAACGATCTGTCGCAATGGATGGAGCAAAAGCGGCGTCTTGGTGATATTCACGACGACAATGAGGACACGACACGTGTCGAAAAGTAGCGTCCGTGGTAAGGCCATTAGAAGGTCAGGAACCCTCCCATAGTAGAACAGAGGACTACAAGAAGCGCAAACCGCAAAGATGATGTACATCACGAACGCCCACGCGAGGGCGATGGCCAATAAAAGGGGCATCTTAGGTCGATCAATGGGCTTCAGCTCACCGTGTAGGCATGGCAGATTGATGTGCATGATGAAAGAGAACACGCCAGCTGATGCTGCCTAAGAAACATACATCACATGAAAGAGGGGTAAAAAGTGTCACCTGCGAGAATGGAACCCACGACCTTGTGGTATCCACCTCCAGTGGTACAGGCTCCACATCCACGGAATCGAGCGGGTTGAAGATAACCGTGAAGACTACTGATACCCATATAAGTAACATAAGGCCAACACCGGTGTAGGAGGCGAACCTCACACCGTGCAGAGACCTAGGCAGCGACGCGGCCCATCCTACCAACGCTGCCATACCCCCCAGCAGCCACCGAGGGACTTTGGGGAAGTGCGAATGGAGCGAGTCGAAAGACACGACCAATGTCATACTGATGACCTGAAGACAATTTTCTCACTTCCGGCCAGAATGTGAAAGTGTTCCCAAGATTACCCCAAAAAGCACAACCGCCAGGACAATGTCGATGGCCAGAGACATGGTGCGGCCCTTGAAGAGGCGAGTGGCTAGAGCGTAGTAGCTGTACTCCTCCAGATAGCCCGACAAAACCATCGTAAGGACGTACCTACAATTAGCGTCGAATCGCAGCGATGGGGACGTGGGTACGCTGAGAGGTAGGAGGCCAGGACGGCTCCTATGAAAATGATGGATCCTGTGAGGTAACCAACAACCCCGAAAACATAGGGCAGCGCGAACATTCCTGAATCACAGAGATGGCCACTGTAGACGTAACGCGAGGCAGTACCAAGGCCAACCATTGTGTTAACGATGTTGAAGACCGTGCTGAGAGGAGTCGAGTAACCATGGCCCTCTAGGGTAGTCTGAAAGGGATCCAATGAGATGGTTGTATTATCAGGAGGCCCTCACAAGGTTCTTCATGGCCGCCGACTCATAGGAAGGCAGCTCCTGTGGGGCGAGGAACGGACTGGTCTCAACACCCATTGTTAAAACCTCCTAAAGACCCATCCAGATTGTCAACAAATCAACACCGCCTCAAGTGGTCGAGAAACGTTAAGGATGATGGTACTATGTCGACTATACAAGGTTAGCCTCTTCACGAAGATACTCTCCAATATCCGATTGATGGTAACTGAATGGTGGTCGTCAAGTCCCAGTCTCCATGGTCACCAACGCTTACACAACGATCTGTTCCGGTCCGGCCGTACGGCACTCGCCAACGCTCTTCGCACTAACACCAAACCCCAGCGGCACATCTTGTTCATTTAGTATCACCACCCCAGTGTTAGCAGGCGTATCCTCAGTCACCCGTCGGAGGTGGGCCTGAGACGATTCCATTTTAGCGCGCGCCAGAGGACCCTTATTACCTTCACGACGTGGTTGCCATATACGTAACTCTGCTCACCAGCAGGCTTCACCCAAATTTTATGCTAATAAAAATTAAATATCTTTCGAGAAAGGCGAACAACGCATCTTACCGTAGCCAGCTTGGCGAGGTAGTCCAAACAGGTGATGTGAAGTCGGAATTTCCTAGAGTGTGTGAACTTGCCAAAGCACACACCGGCCGACAACAGGCATTTCCTCGGTATGTGCTGAGCTTTACGCAGGAGATTCTCAGACATGTAGAAAACCCTAAGCGTGATAGTCCCATGGTCCATCACCCGAAGTGGTAGTATTACCGGTCCTTATGGAGTCTAAAGACGTAGTTTTCACCATCGGCCCTGTCGACCAGCAGCTGGAGATTCGAACCAAGGAATTTCTTCAGCTTCTCGAACACTTGTCTGGTCTCGTCCTCTGTGAGGGCTCTCATGTAACACGTGTGGAACTGCTGAGAAGTACTCCGCCGACCCAAACTACAACACAAGTGGACCTTTACAGAGAATCAGTTCGATAACTACAAACCTTGCTATGAACTATCACCAGTGGCCAACACGTCCGGGAGGCCTCGGCTAGACGGGTGACTGATCTCCGATAGAAAAAACGTCATCTGCGAGCTACGAATGAGTACACCATATAAATAGATAGTGGCAGTAACCTCATCATAACCATGACCTCCAGAAGCCCTCACAGTGGCTAAGGGTGGCCCTAGGGGAAAAATGTATTCAAACAAGGACGGGCCTGAGACCAAGTGTAGGCCTTTACCGTGAAGACTCAGGTCCTAGTTATCTAAAGCAATCACCAATCATCGTCATCTTCAATAACTACAGTTTCCTCTATTATAGTAGGGCCTTCATCGATGTACATCGGTGGTTCCTCGACGATCACAGTGCTCGAGGGTTGCTCCATGGCGCTTCCCAACATCATACCTCCTAGGAAGCCAGCAGTACCAGCCAACATAGCAGTGCCAAGACCAACATCTGCCTGGGCCGGGGCTGAGTTCACAACGGTGGTATTAGTAGTAGTGGTGTGCGTCGTCTCCACCACCTGGTTTGGGGCCATGGGCTGCTGCTGCTGGCCCTGGGCTAGTGGATAGTAGCGACCATCAGAACCAAGGACCGCGACGCGACCATCAGGCAAGACGATTTGGTGGGGTTGGGCTACAGGGAGTGGTCCAACGGGTTTGTAATCGTTCATGGGTGGCTGAGGAGCGTAGGTGTAGTTTTGGGGAGCCTGAGGGGCTGCATACATGCTACGGGTGACCGTTGTAGTGGTGGCGGGCGGAGGCATCGTTGTGGTCGCGACAGGACCATCCAAACAGCCACACATATTTCCCATTGAGTTTTTGAACTGGGAAAATAACAGCAACAGGAAAAAACTGAGATTGAATGAAATTTACGGTTAGAAGTTATACACCAAGCCTCTGGGAGGTCTGATCTCGAAGAAAAAAAGACAATTCCCCTTACACGTACCACTTCATGAGAAGATCCTACAAGAGAAAGTGCAGACGATCCCCTGTGTTAAAAGGAGATGCTTACAGGTCACCTAATGCGGCCCGAGGTGACTCGGGTACTCCAATGACAATAGGGTTGTGAAGTATACAGCGCATAATACTATCCAGTATATAGTTGCCGTTTGATCTATGCAGCAGATGGCGGGTCGCTTCAAGTACAGGGTTGGGGTAAAGTAAGACCGTCACAGGGTGTCAAGAACACCATGGAAGAGTTTGTGGCACGTCACCCGACGAGCACGCACAATCCTTGTCGGTCTTTTTGGCCCGCCACGGATATTCTCGCGGTTGCATCAGAATGCACCTGTTAAAGCAAGGCGTCTTAACCCTCAAAGGAACTCTAAAGGCTCGCAGAGACTAGGGTCATCTGTAGCAGAAGTCACGCTGATGGGTGCTTCAATAGTCCAAACATTCTAGGAGAAAGTGCTCGGCAATTGACAGAGTGTTCTTTCTAGTGGACTGGGTTACGGGGACAGACGGTCTGTCACAGACCCATGTGGGGTGAGAGCCGCTGGTACGGCACCAGGGCACCGAGACTTGAGAGTAGGGGCCTGCAAGTCTTCGGTTCTCTGAGAGGACTCCTCTCCACACCACCTAGTCGACTAACTCAGTTGATAGTTTCGTGGATCTATATAGAGGTTCAGTTGAACTGGAGAATCACTACACCTTTTAACCATCTATACCTTTCAGAAATCTTTTTGGCGGATTAGGCTATCAATTCAGCTGATAAGAAAGTCACCTTCGCGGACAGGGACATCAATTTAGCGATGAAGGTTGAATAGGGAAATCAATTTCGCGAATAAAGACATCAATTTCATGATTAAGGAATGCAACTTCACGAGCAAGGACATCAATTTCGGGTTAGAGCTCTGATGATGACAATTTACGATGTGCAGCTCTATAAGCCATTCCAGGGTGATAGCGCAACCCCACACGAGGCTCAGAAACCATATTAATAGTTCATTGCATCTATTCGGCATGCCATGACTGACATAGAAATATATAAAAAATCTCAACGTCAGAACTGAATCGCCCTCCGTTCCAAGGCAGGCGCGTAGTATGCGGCGCAGTTGTTGACGATTGATTTGAATCCCGAACGTCATGAGGACTTCTGCAGCAAGAGTCTTCAATGTGGTGAAGGGGTCGTCCGAGATCCACTCCTCAATCAAATCGATGTGCTCCTCGTTGAGTTTGATGTGTGTGGCACCACCACGGGGTTTGTTTTTTGGCGACGGCCGTCGGACCCACCCCCGAGCTGTGCTCACAGCGGTGCCGTTGGAACGAGCCACCGCCGCTCAGTCGCCATCATTGGTGGCCGCCTCACGAACTCGTCGACGGGCAGATTCTTGTGGCTTCTTTTAGGGATATCGGCGACCAGCAGGAGGAGGGGTAACGGCCGCAACGGCACCACCAAGGCCGATATCGGCGAGATCATGGACAGGAGTGTGGTCAGGAGATATGAGGGGGTGAGCGGGAGCAGCGGCCGCATGGATGGGTGTCGCAGGGGCTTGGTTCTGCATGATGCCTACGGACGAGTGACACGGTCAACAAAACACGAGAACAAAATCACCATGAGAGTACTGGCATGACTGCCCCGCAAACACGAAATCGAAGTTCCGAACGACGAAGTCGATTTTCCTAAAGGGACGAAATCGAAGGTCTGAAGGTGTACTCGACGAAATTGAAAGTTCTATGACAAACTCGAAGGTTCGAAAGTCGAAATTGAGAGTTCTATTAACACGAGAACTTCCTACCGACTTCGGACGAACTTGAATGTTCTATGACGATGTTGAAAGTTCTAATTGCGAATATGATCTACCCGTTTCGCATTCGTACCTCCAACTTCGGCGTCCCGACGAAATTGATGGTCCCAAAGACGAACTAGATGTTTAAAAGGTGTAGAACCTGAGTAAACAGAAGCCTTACACCTTACAGAAGCCTTACACTTTACAGAAGCCTTACATTTTACAGGAGCCTTACACCTTACAGGAGCCTTACACTTTACAGGAGCCTTACACTTTACAGGAGCCTTACACTTTACAGGAGCCTTACACTTTACAGAAGCCTTACACTTTACAGAAGCCTTACACTTTACAGAAGCCTTACACTTTACAGAAGCCTTACACTTTACAGAAGCCTTACACCTTACAGAAGCCTCGCACTTTACATGTGCCTACATCTACTCACATCTCTGTTGTCGGCGGCATCCCTCCAGCCAAGTCTGTATATGTCGGGCGCTAGCACTGAGAAGTATCTTAGATGGCAGTAGGAAAGATGCATGGCGTTATGATGGTCTGTCAAGATTTCAAATAGGCCGCATGTCCTTGTGGTAGAGAACTTTCAGGCGACTGATAATACGTTGCTTGATTCACAACATTCAAATCTCAGTGAAGTAATTGTGAATTGAAATTAGGCTCAGGAATGTACTTATATGTGAGTTTTCCGAAGAGTTGTCAGCAAACGACCAATTTCGGCAGTGGACCGAACCAATGTCGGACTTGAATATAGAAAATGCTAGGTCACAAAGGTGCCTCCTATTTTCCACCCGGCGAGTGTTAGTGCCGGGGGGCAAAGGCTGAGGAGGTTCCTCTTTGATGGTCCCTTTATCCGGACTGATCTGTGTGTGTGTGAGAAAATGTCCAAAAAAATAGCTTCGCTCCGCCTTTCATGTGAATTTACAATGCCAGCACTGTGCTAGTGTATGTAGTAGTGTAGTTATTGCTTGGTAGTTGACTTTTTGAGTAATACATGAGTAATACCAATACGACCGGGGAGGACCCCAACAGGCCCGGTAAGCCCCATAGGGCTCGTCAGTAGTGATGGTAGTGTCTCAGGAAATGGAGAGCAACCAGAGAACCCATTGTTGGTATACAATGTTAACAGACCGGGTGCAGTTCGTGGGCGGCCAAGTGGAGCTGAGGCCCCTCCACAAGGGCCTCCCCCTACTGGGAATGTCTTCCACTTCGGCCAGCCTCCGCAGCCTATGCCTTACAATGGGCCGGCACTACAACAGCAACAGCAGCAGCAGCAGCCGCAGGAGGCCGATGTGGCATCTCAGGTTCGTGGTGGTAAGATACGGATTAGGTCAGGTTAGATGCATCAGATTCGAGATCGCTTACGTGCGGCTTTCGGGTTTGGTAACCAGCCGACTACTGGACAGGCTCATAGCAATGGTTGGCAATGGAATACGTGGGACTGTGGTCGGTCCACCAAGACCGCAATTTGGTCCACCATCGGGCTCTTGGTCTTCTTTGTGCTCTTCTGGGTCTTCTTCACTGCAACTCTGGAGGTATTAGATCGACCATTGGTCTCACTGATGGGTTCTCTGTAGGTCAATGAAGTAGGCATACTGCGCAATATGATAACAGGTTCGGTGCCTGAGGACGGCGGCGTCTATCGAGGCGGCCGGCATGTGGTAAGCTGTAGTACCACTTGAGTTTTGCTCACTAGGAAATGCTCAGGTATGGCCTTTCCAAACCTTTGTTAAGTTCCCAGCTACTTATACTACCATCGACTTCACTGGGCCGATGACTGTCAAAACAAGTAGGATGGGTAAGGTTGGCAGCTGTCGTGGAAGCTCGTGTGCTAGGGACTGGTGCTGACAAGTCGGACCCTGATAGTGGTGGACAACCAATCACGATATCCTGCTCTCTACAGTAAGTCCTCAAGGGTTGAAAAATTCGGCCTTCCCGACCGTACTCAATTTTCGAGCAAATTAACTTCGCATTTTATCCGGAAGTTCGCGTCGTAGATGCCGATCGTTAATATACTTGCCCTTCCTATTACCGCCCCGTGGTTCAGATTCCAATTTGATCTGGAGCACCTTCATGACGTCTACGTGTCCTTTGGCGGCCTAGAACCAGCTATGATTCGGTACCGTTTGTTGGCAAGGAACGCCGTGTCTAATACGGCTCAGAGGTAGTGGTGATGATGGTACTCAGGATGGAGGGCGAGTGGTACTGCAGGTTCGTACCGCAAGACTTCTGGCAAGACCGTAAGAGGATATCTGATACGATGGAGAGTGTGTTGAATAGGACCTTCATTAGTCAAGGTGGCGGCAGCAAGATCCGATTCTTCCAGGTAGGTGGAGGTCCCGGGTTCGAACCCCGGTATCGGCTTTTTTTCACTCGTACTGTATTATTCAGATCCTCCGTACTGACTTCGTACCTAGTTATGAAGACACTATTACAGACATACAGGTGCGTATATGACTCTATGGCAGACGCAAGCATCATCTGCTGCTGGCAGGTAGCCGAGCAGCAGAAGGTTATCAACGAGTACGCTCAGGAGGTGGCGGCAGTCAGACAGAGTATCGAAGTGCTGTTGGCGCAGAATGAGGTAGAGCCTTCTACTAGTCACCATAGTTGTGGAAATCAGAATAGAGTGTGAGGAGTTGACTCTTGAAAATTATGGAGAAATCAACATGTTAGTTTCAGCTGATTAGTGAGCATCGCGGTTATGTTGTGAAGGACAGACCCGACACGGTCTGGAGATTCCATAACGGTCGATGTGCTATGATGATGTGATCAGGCTCGTATAGCAAATATTACGGCAACAGGGGCGGCCAAGGCGAGAGTTATCGTCGCGGAAGCCACACAAGAGGCATTCAGAACGAAGCAGGCTACGAAGGCAACGGCGTAATGGATGCAATTGGGGAATCTTCGCTGTGCGCAGTTGGTATCTTGCTAGGTATAAACGCTTGTCGGACCAACTGCAGTTGGGCGCAACAGAATTTTCCAAGTATCTCGAGTTGAAGAGTGCTACTGGCAATAGACGTGGAGGGTCGGTGGTGATGGGTCTGGGCTCGTCTCCAGTACAGCGTGGCCGACCTGTTCATGATGAACTGTGAAGGGATGGTTGAAAGGATACTCTCGAGTACCGCTCTTTGTGCTATTATTATGCTTCGAAGTTTCTCTGATCTCCGAGACTTGTTGTACTTGTAGTAGTAGTGTATCAGTCCATTAGCAGTTGATTCTTCTATTGTAATATGAATAACATTCAGAAGGTAGTGTTGTGGTCCCCATTACTGATAGTGGCAATAGTGGTAAGTGAACTATGGTGAGATTACCGTGATGTTCTTTTCTTGTCAGTTACTGGCCTTGTCCTTTTCGAAAGTGCCAGCGACCGAACTCGGTGTGAAGTACGATAACATATTCAAGCATGTTGCATCGAAGCCGTACACGGAGTCAGGGTTGTACACGATTGGGCCCTTTGCTTATTTCGTAATCGGAAGGTCCCGGGTTCGATCCCTGGTGGAGGTGTTTTTCCGTAGGTTTATTACCCTAAAACTGTGAGGACCATCGAGTTCTCCACCTCTGAGTATGATGTCCTCCACGCTAGGACAAGCGATGGTCTACCGCTCGTACTCGGCGTTGCCTTCCAGTAAGCAGACGATTTTGTCTATAGTTTGAGTGGATCTCTTGACTGCCTTATCCTGGTTCGATTGGGATGTTCGCTCAGGAGTGGTATGATAGGTACCAGTTGATACCGGATGAGGCAGTGGAACTGTACATGCAGTTGGGCGAGGACTTCGAGACGACTTTCAAACTCGTTGCGAACCATTTGGCTACCGAGTGAGTCTACTTCCGTTTGATTTTTGTGAAGTCTCTTTTTCGAAGGTACGCTACTCAGTTTAGCGCTTACCAGTTTTTCAATAGCAAGGAAATGATAGCCCGAGGCATGATGGCGTACCTGGACGAGCACTTCAGGGTAAGCATAATAAGAGTAGATGAGAATGTAGTAATGAGAAAAGTTTTTTCGTCGGTTTCGAAACCCGAACTCGGGTAACTTGAGTAAATTGTGATTATACTCACTTCAGTTTGCATGTTCAAGCTACTTGAATTTTTTTTCGGGAGTGACCGTTGAAAATTTATGTCGTTTTTAGAGAGATTTTCATGCTTCCATTCAAGGGCTGCAGATCAACGAGGATGAGCTGCCCGATCAGTTCTATAACTCAGTATTGACGGCTGCTAACACAAAGCAGAATATCACTCGTAAGAAGGTTCCTAATAGGAGCGTTTAGACATGAGGGGTTCTAATTACGGGGTGAAGTATTTCATTCCAGACGTAAAAGGGTCGGATGCCTCGAGTAACTTAATTGCATTTGTATACTATGATTAGTTAAGGTGATCAGTTCGTGGAGTTATATGCCCTTGCAAGAGTGGGATGGAATCTCAGTTTGTGAACTCTGCGATGTTGAGAGGCATTCTCTAGCTTGAAATTATCAAGGGCAACGAACTCGGACGATCTGTGAATATCATATGTATTTCCATGATTTTTTTCTTATAGGTAACATTAATCTGAGAGATGCGGCTAAGGTTGGTATGGCAACTGATCGTATAGTAGCAGCAGCTCAGGCTAATGCGACGGTGTCGAGAGCGCAGGGACAAGCGATGAGGACGGTAGTACTAGGAATGAGTAAAATGAGGTATTCATTTTATTGTGTAGTTGCAAGAAGGGCAAGCTGCGGCTGCTGTGCTCGAGCAGTATATATCGGCTGAAACCCGGGCGTTCACAGAAGTGAAGTCGTCATTGGCGTTGAACAACACGGAGCTGTTACAATACATATGGTGAGGGGTTTGCCCTTTATGCATAGAAGAAGGCGATATGCATATCGTCAAGCGCATATGAAAACTCTGAGGAAATATACTCCTGTACGTTTCTAAACGAATTCGTATGTCAACGTGTAAACATGTATAAGTAGTGAGGAAACTCTGAAGCTCAGCTGAGGAAAGTGAACATATTTCTCAACGCTGATAGGAAGGGCTATCGTCCAGGTACGATGCATTGCAAGGTGGTGGAGTGCAACCGAATGAGGACCTTGTTGGCCAAGTACTGGTTGGTGTTGATCCTAGTGTCTATATGAACGCTCCAAAGGCGTGATAGTGTCGCTACTATTGGTACTGGTATTGATTTTGTTTCGAACTGATGACGGAGTTTAGTGGTGTTTAGTTTGGTGTTGTGGTTTGTGTGTTTTTCGCACAAAACAGGCGAAATTTTAGTGGTGTAGAAGCGCAGGAGCGTTGCTTTGATCTTGAGAGTAGTAGTAGTTAGGTTTAAGGAGAAGGAGCGAGCGTTTCGAGTATGGGCTGCTTTCATTCGGCTTGCGGCGCCGTTCTGGTAGGGATATTATGGCCGATTCGAACGATGATGATCATTTGAAGGAACGGTATGGAAATAAGAGAACTGCGGGATTTCATTCAGCTGTGATATTCAGGGTAGTTTATGCTGGTGAGAAACTGAAGTGAACGAGTAAGGTTTAGTTACTGAGGAAGGGGTTTAGTTTTTTTAAACCGGAAGCGTTAGAGATTTGGTATGAAAATTCTGCGAGAAGATCACTCGGAGTGGATGCGGGATCGTTCAAGTTATGGCATGTGAAAACGCTCGGAGACTCATCGAAAGCATTGTGAACTTCCTCAGTAAATCTGCCCTCGCCGATTGATTCTGTCGACTGCTTTAATTTGACGTTCACGTTTTGCCCTCGCTATGAGGGCAATTTATTATTGCATTACAGCGGTTATGGAGAGCTGTTAGGCGTAAGGGTCTACATTGTGAACCGAATCGTTGATGTTTCTTGATAAGTGTTTGGTAGTCTTCAGCAACCATAGACAATAGCAATAATTTTATGCCTTTTTCTTTTTCTTTGGAGAAATATGCACGTGGTCAACTACATGTCTGTGAAAATCCCGCGGAAACTCTGGCAAATTATTGTAGTTCTTCTGTATACTCCCAGCCGGATTCGTATGTGAAGTTGTATTTCGAGTGATAAACTCCTGAGCTCGGCTGAGAAGAGCGAACAGTTTTCCCAACACTGCTTTTTATAATGTTGATGTTATTGGAAGTCGACGTGGAAACTAGTAAAGTTGTTTTAAAGAAAGTTACTTAAGGTGACATTCCGATTCACACTTGATATGTTTAGGATTATCCTGTTCGTGCTGATAGGAGGCTCTTTGCTATTGGAGAATGTCGATAGTAGTTGTTTGAGTTTTATGACGTCGTCATT